GCAGGGGTCTAGCCTACAACTAGAATCAAACTAAAATAAGAATTCTATGTGTGTGTGTTGCCAATGGGCAGAGGCAGATTACTGTTTTGTGGGGCCCTGGGCCAGAGCAAGTGGGGCCCCCTCCCCACCCCTTCCGTCTGCAGTCCTCCCCACCTCCCACACCCTGACCCACTCCCCCACAGGAGCACCGGGCAGGTGGAGTGGAGTGTGGAGTGCCCATTTTTCTGGGGGGCCCCAATTGGCCGGGGCCCCTGGGCACGTGCCCAGTTGGCCTAGTGGCTAATCCACCACTGCCAATGGACCACAAGACCAACTAATATCTAACTAACACCACTAAACTAACACAGAGAAGCAGGCAGACACTGCAGGGATTCCATCTTGCTGCCATGGTTAATAAGAAGGAACTGAGGGATGATGGGACCCACTCTGCCCTTTATGCCCTCTGATGGGAGCGTGCCAGGCTATCTGGGCTATGTCTGCACTACATACCACTGGTGTCGTCGTGCAGCATATGTGTAGCTACATGCTGCAGGTGAAAAGCAGGCTGGTTCCGCACTGGGATGCATAGCTACACTTGCCAATGAAAGGTTCTGGCAGAAGGGATGCAGCTGGGAAACACTTCAGCGGGTCCTCACTCTGGCTGAGCCTTTCCCTGTTGTGTCCACCTACCACCCAAAGCCAGAGTCTTTCCTGTGGAGGGAAAGGGCCCGAGGAGCAGGGAGCTGCTAAAGTCCTTCCCCACTCTGGAACCTTTCCCCCTGCCGGAGAGCAGCAGAGGAGGATTCCAGGGGCAGTGAGGTGGCAGAGCCTTTCCTCTTTGCCTCCCCCTGACAGAGCTTTTCCCCATTGCAGGAGTCTTTTCTTGCATAGGGGAAAGATTCCAGCAGCAGGGAGGCAGTAAGACCTACACTGTTAATAAGAGCAGTGTAGACAGGGAGGCACAGCTTTGGGGAGTAGAGAACATGTAGGGTATGTACTCATCTCCATACCCACACCCTTCAGACAAGTCTTTTCTTGTGCCTCACCAGCTTCAATGCTAGCCTATTTATGCCTGTGCTAGGGGGACTTTGCAGGTATGTTCTCTATACTCTGCACGCTTCTTTCAGTGGTGTGGACATACCCCTAGGCTGCAGATGCAGCCCCGACCGATACTATAGGTCAAAAGGATCTGGTCTTGCACACACAGAGTGCATGCACAGCCAAGAATCCATGTGCACTCAAAGAACCAGTAGCTCAATACAGGATTATGGTGAAGTAAGTGTAGCTGGAGGAGTTGCAGTGCTGCAGCTCTGGAGACAGGAGTTCATGACTGATATACAGAACAGCTATTGTACTGGCAGTGGCTTTGCAAGCCTCTTCCCACTGCCCCATCCCCAGCCATTGTACCTCAGATAGGGTTGCTAACTTTCTAATCGCACAAAACCAAACATCCTAGCCCCGTGCCTTCCCTGAGGCCCCGCCCCTTCCTCGAAGCTCCGCCCCTGCTCACTACATTCCCCCTCCCTTGGTGGCTCGCTCTCCCTCACCCTCACTCACTTTCACTGGGCTGAGGCAGAGGGTTGGGGTGCAGGACGGGGTGAGGGCTCTGGGGTGGGTCTGGGGATGAGGGGTTGGGATGCAGGAGGGGGCTCCAGGCTGGGGGGAGGGGCCAAGGGATTTGGAGTGCGGGAGAGAGCTGTGGGTTGAGGCTGGGGGTTGGGGTGTAGGAGGGGGTGAGGGCTTGGGGCTGGGGATGCGGGCTCTGGGGTGGGGCTGGGGATGAGGGGTTTGGGGTGCAGGAAGGGGCTCGGGGTTTGGGGAGGGCTCAGGGCTGGGGCAGGGGCTTGGAGCTGGGGCACGGGCTTATCTCGGTCAGCTCCCGGTCAGCAGCACGGCGGGGCTAAGGCAGGCTCCCTTCCTGTCCTGGCACTGCGCTGAGCTCCGGAAGGAGCCAGCAGCCGGTCCAGCTCCTAGGCGGGGGGGGAGGGGCGAAGGGGAGGCAGGAGGCTCTGCGCACTGCTTTTGCCCGCAGGCACCGCCCCCCAGCTCCCATTGGCTGTGGTTCCCTGCTTTAGACCTGTAGCACCGCTGATCGGACTTTTAACAGTCCAGTCAGCAGTGCTGACCGGAGCCACCAGGGTTTTCCACCTGGCATTCTGGTAAAAAAAATGGACACCTGGAAACCCTAACCTCAGGCCTTTCCTGGAAAGATAAGGTCTAAGGATGAAAGGGTCTCTGTGGCCACTTAACCTCTCTGAAGAGAACAACAACAAAGGTAATCAGTGCCAGTTGTTGTGCTTTTTGTGAATTTTACCAAAAGAGATGAAATGGACAGTCTGCAAACCAGAGCTTTGAGTGTCAAATGCTTACAAAGTGTTCCTCTGAGCCAAGTAATTACATTCAAATTCTCTTTCTGTTGTATACTGGAAAATTGCTTTTCTTTTAGACTGGAGATATATTTACCACATGGGATCTGCTCTTTATTCTGATTACTCAATTCTCCAAAGCAAGAAACTGCAAAATTTCTCTTGGTTGTTAAAGATACTCCACAAAAAAGATGTCTTTTCATAAACACAAGCAAAGCCAATTGATGATCACTCCGAAAGAAAACTCCTTGCAGTAGAACTGCAGTATTTTTACCAAGATGCTCTCTTGAGCTGTATGAGTGCACATACTCTTATGAGTTGCCCATTAGATTTGGCTAAATAATTTACTACACAAAATTTACTTGATAAATTAGTTTTTTATTCACAAATTGTCCACAGGTTTGTGAACATGCTCGTTATTCAAAATTAATTATTGCCAATTAATTTAAACAAACAATACTTGGTCTGTAACTTATATATGAGCTATTCACTGTGAGCACACAAAATTTAAAACGTAATAGGTCATGATAGTCTTCTTTTCCCCGACAGGATGATCATAATTCTTTGTCCCCAATTTCTGATGAAATTACTTGTGATTATGAATCTGAAATTCACATTCTGCAATATTCTATAATGTTTGCTTTACAATTTCTAGTTTGGAATTCCTGACAAAATCAGTTCATAGAATATTTGTAGATGGCAAACACAAAAAGGGGACAAGCCAATCTAAGCCAATTCATAAAATATAAAGTGAATGAAGATTCTTAGAAAATGTGTTGCAGTATTTGCTCAGTTCTGTTTCTCTTCCTTTTTTTTATGATGAAAATCAGGCTGTTGTTACATTATTTACCAATTGAAAATTGCAGTTTCCTCTTTAAATGAAAAATTAATCTTTCTATTTTTACTAATACTAAATGAAAACCTTAATCCAAAAAACCCAAACATACAACCCTAGCTTACATCATACTTGAAATCCAGAAATAGTTAGATTTAAACCACCCTGTGGAAAAATGACAGTACTCTCAAACTTTCCAATAGATTTTTTATCTAGTCATCATGAAGTAAAATACAAAACAAAAAAAAATTCAGTAAAGACATTTTTCAGCGAAAGGTCTCTGACTGGTGCACATTTATCCCCCAGTGAGATAACCAGTCAAACCCAAGGGGTAGTTAGAAGGGAACTTTGTGACATAGAATCAGACCTGTTTTTTTCTGAGAAAGGCATCCCATGCCCAGGCCTTAACTCTCAAGAGATTATCATGGAGTAGAAACCAGTATTGTTTTTGTTTTCATCAAGGAAGTGAAGGCAGTAGGCACCATACACTGCATTGTTTTATACTATAAAATAAATGTCATTTCTCTTTAAAGGACTTGGTCCTAAATCATTTATGGGAACATTGTACAATAGAAATAAATCTAGCATAAAATTATAATAGTACATTAAGTAATAATTCACCTCAAGATGTAACGATGTACAAAGCAAATGGAAAGATAAAGGAGAGAGGGTAAATGCATCTAGTGGTTAGAGCAGGGAATTGGGAATCAGAGGTTTAGGTTCTATGTATGCACACCCTGTGCATGAGTTTCCCTACATGTAGCGTGGATTTAATAATACCAGAGGGGAATTGCAAGGTTTAACTAATTCATTTGTCCAATGTGCTTTGAGATCCTTGGAGGAGTTGCACTAAACAAGTGCATATAAATACACAAATGCCCTCCTACCTTGCAGATAGAGATCCAGTACAATATTTAACAATAAGATACAGTAAATAAAAGAAATAACCATTGCAATAGATGGTGCCATTAAATCCTGTGATGAAAAACTTTGGGGTTTATGTGCCTTAGCACTATAAAAGAAGATACTTTGTTTTTAAAATATACTATCAAGAAATGGTAGAAACAAGATACATGCCTGAATAATAATAATAATTAAAAAAAAACTATAACAGCAACTTTTGTAGTGTTAGTGAATTTAATAATATTCATCTGGATTTCTGTGAGCATGGTTGAAAGCAGAATTTGGTCCTTTTATACTGACAGATTTTCCACTGGGCAAATATACTGTGTATAATGGAGAATTATTCTCCTTTAAGCTCCAGACACAAAGCCCCTTAAGTAAGGGGCCCTGTTCTAATGTGACCAGAGGGTATTTCAATTTAGATTATCTAGCGCACACTACAAATCACCTACAAGTTTTAGAAGTTGTGGTCAGCATACCTTATATATAAAATTGTGAAAATGTACTATTGTATTATTGACATCACCATTAAGTTTTCTGTACTTCTGGGACTGATGTTATATCACTACACCTACTGATTTATTGATTAATCCAAAAATAATTTGGACTGAACCAAAGCCAAATGATGCAAATGAGAGTCCTTCCACTGACCTCAAAGGGCTCTGGATCTGGCCCACAGAGATTATGATGGTCTATTGGTAAGTATACTCTGCGGATAAAAATAATAGCTAATAAAACACTTTCACATTTCTACTGTTAACTGTGAAGTACTTCACTCTGAGTATTCTTTGAGAAATAGATTTAAGAGAGACTTTTTTGATCAGGATTGCATTTGAAAATAAGAAACAAGGATGAAGGTTTTGAATTCTTCACTCCCCTCTGATAAATTTTTTAAAAATTAGAAATGATATACTTACGTCATAGCTTGATAAATATATTCAATTCCATAACGCATTGCAAATTCATCTACAATTTCCTGTGCAGCAGCATCAAAGTATACTTTCCAGGCTTCATCTCCTTTCACTTCAGGGATTTTTACACCACCATTAGATTTAACTTCAGTCAAATAATGGAATAGGTTCTACAGGTAAGAGATTTTTTTCAAATTAATAGGAAATTTCAATATCTATGTGGCATTATATAAGACTATTCTATATTATGAAATATTTTTTCAGAGTATTCATTAATTTCAATTTTTGTTTGCCTCTGCAATTACTAATACCAAACTAACCATCATTTGGAGAGGAAAGACTAAAGCTTTAAAAATACTTTTTAAATGGAGCTCTGCCAGTGCAGGCTAGATCAGGTTGCTGAATCACTATCTCCTTGACATAAGGTCATTTCAGTTAACCATTGCCGACAGAGACAATTCTAATGCTATACAAAATAGTGCAGGAAGTTTCTCTTTTGTCTTATGTGCCCTTGTTAATGAATTATATCATTATGTTATAATGCTCACTGAACTGTCCAGCAGCTTGAATTGGATTTTTAACCAATGAATTTCAAGTTTCATGATTTAAATATTCTGAGTTATAGGCAATTTGTTAAGAATATCTCAGAAATTGCTCAAAGAACAAAGGAACATAGCAAGGATCAGGGTTTAGCAACCTTCACAGCAAGAGCTAGCATTTAATTTGCACGCAATGACAGAGATTTGTTCTTCTCAGATTGCCTGGCTTAGCTACAAACAAATCCAAAAAACAGGACTGTTGAATTCAGTTTCCTGGATATTTTCAATGACAAAAGATGACCAACAATTTTGAGATCTCCATTTAACCTTTACACAACCATTTCTCTTTAGCCCAGTCCATAACCATGTAGCGGGTGATCCTGCACCATTGATATTAATGGAGTTCCGCCATTCACTTCAAAGTGAAGCTGATCTGGGCCCTATACAACTTAGATACACACACACTGTGCATGAAGACAAGTGCCCAATGCAACTATACCTTAGAGACATTTTTGTAGATACCCTTTAGAGCTTTAGTACTGTACCTTTCATAGCACACTCCTACAACATTTATCTATTTTCTTGAGCTTTGGGGATAAAAATTAAATGGTGGGCCAGTCTGATGCAAACAGGAATTAACAGACACAGAGACGCTCTCAAGTAGCTGCTGCTTTTATTTGTGATGAATTTTCTTTTAATTTATGTCAAAGGCCGCCTACTCTTGGTGCTGCTTGTTTCTCACCATCATTCCCAGGAATTTTTCTGCCTGTCCTCATATTATTATATTTCTGGGACATTGCAGAACTAGTGCAGGGATATTAATGCTCATCTGCCAGTGCTGCTGTACACTGCAAGGCACCCTTCAATGAATCGAAGGACAGGCTGTACATAGATAATGAGATATTGTCCTTTGTTCACACAGAGAATGAAGAGTCTCCCTTGTTCTCCCACCTCCTATCTTTCATATTATTTATTCCTAATCACATAAAAGTCCTCCTAAGGATCTAAAATTAGAAATAAGTCACCTAGGTCAGTAGTTAAAATCTGAAAACTATATGGCATGAGCAGGAGAAAAAAAAAGTCTAATATTTTATTAGATGCTTTCCTAATTCCATGTAAAGCTCTGATAACACAATTTGATCCTGGACTTCTATTGTAGACAAAGTCCAAATGAAACTAACCGGAAATCTGACTGAGAAAGAACTGACCAGTCAGGCCCCAGGAGGGGAAACACTGCTCCCTATGGATTGCTATGGCCTGTATGTCAACTATCCTAAACATTACATCACTGATTTCTCATGTCTCCCATGGATGATGTGGGAGCATATGTATTCTGGAGGGTTTTTTTTTTTTTTAATAATTTAAAAATAAACAAATACAATCCTAGTATTCTTGATGACATTAACAAGCATGTGACTGGCATTTAAAATGTAGAGCGTAGAGAACTGCAGAAGCAAAGCTTAGGAAGTCACATGGCCATTTCACCTCTTTCTACTTTCTAACCATTTGGCAAGACCAATCTGCTGATGTAGTAGCATATCAGTCTCTCTTCCTTGGATACAATAACTTTGAATCTGGTCATGAGATTCAATCATCGATACATATTCCAAGAGTTTTAACTGAAAAACCTGTTGAAGTGAAACTAAATATATCACTGTTCTAGTCTTCATAGCCCTATGTTCTCTATTTATCTAATTTCTGTGTAGCAAAATGATCTTGTACATGAACAAACTTCACCAACATACCTCATGTAAATATGTGTATTGCACATGGTATGGAGCAACTTTCTCCTCTCCTTTTATTTCAACGTTGATTTTCAACCTAATGGCACCAGAGACAGCTGATTTATCTGTTCGTTTTTCTGAAGAAACAGAAAAATAATTGTTAATTTTTACCAAGAATACATTTCTGTCAAAACAGAGAAACACTACTGCAGTTCTAAAAATTGTTTCGGTCCAAATACTGTAATGTTTTCTATGCCCCCGAAGTCCAGCTGTTGAGCACAACATATATTGATTTCCATAGTTAGGAATTTCTAATGTAATGTCATTCTTGATATTTTTGCAAACCTGAGCTCCCATATGGTCCAGGCCATAGAGTACAATATCTTGCTGTGAAGTAACAAATCTCCCATAATGTGTCACCCAAACAAACTCAAAATAGGTTGTACACAAATGTGTGTACTACTTTCTTTTAAAGGAAATGAGTTAATTCTCCTATTTCTTATTTGCTATTTTATTATTACTATTGGTGCTTCCCCACAGGCATCCCCATCTTCACCAACAGCCTCAAAGACATCCATGCCTGAGGGGAAACTCCAAATTCTGTGCATAGGCATGATTCCTCAACTGGGGCTGAATCATACTGAAGAAAACATCTGGAGAACTTTGCATGAAGCCATCTATATTAGTCTATCTAGTTACTACTGCTCCTTATGCTGACAGCTGTTCTTTGATTTCACCTATTATTATTCCAGTCCATTCAAGCAGTGTAATTTGATTTAACAAGCATTATGTTTTGTTTTGTTTTTAAATAAATCTTTTGTACAGTGCTGTGAAATGAATCATGAATAAAGGGAATGGTATAAGGAATAAGAATCTGGCATTCTTACTAATCCAATGCATTTCATTTTTGAAACTTCCCCCACACACACATCCCCCCAAAAATGTGTGTGCGCGGGCATTAGAATGACATATACCATCCTCCTTTTTAAGATATTACAATTATCAGGAGCCACCTATAAAGTTTATTGTAGAAGACAGTTAAACGCTTTGCAGTCTATACTTTTTCTTTCTTTTCTCCAATTATACAATAAGGGTATCTATTTTCAACATTAAATTGCTTCCAATCAAATCAGTTAAGCAACGATTTTTGAGGCGTCAGTTTTGTCAATTGCTTTCTATTATTGTATCAGTTTTATCAATTGAAAGATACTAAGGAAATCTTTCAGGATGACAATGGCTTGTTTATCTTATTAAAAAATTATTCTGCGTACAAATATAAAAACACATGGCTAAAAGATTTGTTTAATTTGCTGCAAAGAATCAAACGTTTTTCTTTACATGTCCATATATTTCAATTGCTAATGAAACGTTAAGTAGAACAGTGGAGAAATAAGGGTATTTACATTGCGTGATAAAGATTTTTGCCCAGAAAACACATGTTCCAACTTTGGCAAACTCCCTGTTACATAATTTACCTTTTGCAGAGCAGGCAATATAGATAAAACATTGTTAGCATATTTATATTATCAAACAAGTAGAGGAGGTTAGTACTTGAGTTACAGCACATCTAGTGGATACAAACTTGCTTCAGAAAAAAAGCAATATTGCATGCTTATCTTTATGTAAGCTAACATCTACTTGCAAACATTAATTATTTGAACAAATACAAATTGGCACATTGTGTGTAATCATGGGCCTTATTCTCATCTCTGTTACATGGGTATAAATTAGAAGAGAGTCCAATGATAACAGACTAGCACAAGTGAAATGTCAAAGGAGAATTAGGCCCAGGACTATACAGAAACATATATTAAATGATAACATGATTATTATTTGATATTCAGTAAGCAAATGATTCTATGTGTTTCTATATGTGATTCATTTCACATACAATGAGCTGTGAATAAAGTGATAGGAGGTATTTATTTACACTGTCCTGATAGCTGCAGCAAAACTATCTACCAAATCCTTTGAAATAATCTCATTTTGAATTAAATCAAAAATTTGTCTTTTGGAGTAGGAATTGCTTTAATTGGCCTAAAAGAACAGGAGTACTTGTGGCACCTTAGAGACTAACAAATTTATTGAAGTGAGCTGTGCCCACGAAAGCCTATGCTGAAATAAATTTGTTAGTCTCTAAGGTGCCACAAGTACTCCTGTTCTTTTTGCGGATACAGACTAACACGGCTGCTACTTTGTAACCTTTAATTGGCCTGCTATTCAATCTTTAAATAAAGTTTTATTTCTCTTAAGTCTGACTCAAAAGTGAGATCTAATTCCACCTTGACCTGAACCTGGAATCCAAAACTGAGTATAATTTTATATATTAAGAAGGAGGTTGGTGGAAGCCTCCGGGTAGATATTGAATGAACATGGAGTTACCCGCACTGTACACTTTTATCTGCCGGGTAGTCCCAGGCATCTAATAGTAAAGTTGCAACCTGATTAAAATCATATCAGGTGTCTCCTGTCCTTCTTTTGGCATAGCTGGACAATTATTTCTCTAAAATTTGACTCAAAAGTGAGATCTAATTCCGCCCTTTTAAACCTGGAATCCAAAACTGAGTATAATTTTATATATTAAGGGGAGTATTATTTTCATACAACAAATATGCATTACAAAGTTCACAACACTATACATCTTGAGATTTTGTCTAAACTAATTTTAAGTAATAGAAAATGATTAATACCTAAATTGTACCATACATCCATTTCTCCGCTTAGTGTTCTCACTTCAATGATTGTTTGTCCCAGAAAGTCATCTGATTCCTTTTTGAAATGTTGCTTTACTCTAGATTTAATGTCATCATCTTCATCCCAGACTCTTACTTTTATTCTGTCTGTGGAGTTATGGCATTCACTGTAAAACAACATACAACAAGATACAGGCCATGATACATTTTCCCAAATAGACTTGTGAATTACTGTTTATTATTATTTATTAATTGTATTATTGTAGTGCTAGAAACCCCAGTCATTGACCAATACCCCACTGTGCTGTTGAAACACAAAACAAAAAAGACAATCCCTGCCCCAAAGAGCTCACAATATAAAACAAGAGACAACAGATGGTAGGGAAGGATAATTACGAAGGCAGGGAAAACAAACAGCAGTAGCCTTCAAAACACAACTAAGTTTTTGAAGTATGCCTTACTTTCTCCCATGGACACCTCACCACTGGTGAAGATCCCCCTCTATAGGAAAAGCCCAGGGCAGCTGCAGCCAGGAGAGACCCTGGCAGAGCAGCTCCATTAGACCCATGCTGCCAGAGTGGAGGCCAGAAGAACCACAGGGGCCTGTAACTGTTGTGGCGGCACAAAGATTCCATGTGGATGTACATGGCCTCTCACAGACCTTCTGGGCACTGCAGAGATTCTGAGAAATTTGAGGGATATGCGGGAGGGGTGGGAGAGAAGGGAAGTGCCCCACAGTATATTATGTGAGAGAGGAGAGGCAGACTCCATACTGTCTTGAGGCAATGACAGGACAGAAAACTCAGAGAGGAAACTTTGCAGATTTCTCCTCCCATCAGCTCCTGTAGTAAAGCCCATCAGGTTTACAGTTACTTCTTATTCGTGTAACCACTGTGTAGCCAACTGTTACTCAGTGTTGGCTTTTTAATTCCATCAGTAGGAATCCTCAGGTATAGGAAATCTGCAGAACCATGAGCAAGCTGCAGTGTCAGTTTATAGGCAAGCTCACTCTAGCTAGACTGATGCGTGCTTTCCATTATTTGTAGAAGCAATTACGTTATTTCAGAGCTAAATCATTCTGTAACTCTACAAACAAGTTTTAAAATGTTATCTTAGTTTTAGTTAACCTGCAAAAAAGGTCTTAATTCAATAATAAGCCTGTATCTTTAGCATGGTCTGCTGGAGTAAGCATGAGAATGGCTGCAGATTTCTAGTCTGAGTTCCAATCCCAGCTCTACCACTAATTGACAATGTGTCTCAGTTTCTCCAGTATTAATATGTGTGATGTTCCCCTGGTGTTATCTGGACCGGCGATCTGCCAGGTCACTCTAATCCTCAACTCTGGGAGCCAGCCTTACCCTGCTCTGCTGTGAGAACCCCCACTCCCGGGATGTTCACGAACAGCTTCTGGTATGTCAGCTGCTCCCAGCTACATGAGTGGGTACTTTTGGCCAGCTGCTGTGTGGACTGTGTAAACTGAATGACACTAGCCAATATCTCCGGTCCCAGACGCAACCCTAGGAACCTCCATCTTGCAGTGTACAGTTATGCCCGCTGGATGCTGCAAGCTTATATAAATTCGTCAATGTAACAAAGACATTGATATGCACCAGGCTTCTTATCCCAAGGAGAGTCTCTGACACGCTTCAAACCAAATGCACTGCTTCAGGTAGAATAAACAAACAGATTTATTAACTATAAAGATAGATTTTAAGTGATTATAAGTCAACACATAACAAGTCAGATTTGGTCAAATGAAATAAAAGTAAAACGCATTCTAAGCTGATCTTAACACTTTCAGTACTCTTTCAAACTTAGATGCTTCTCACCACAGGCTGGCTGGTTGCCTTTCAGCCAGGCTCTCCCCTTTTATCAGCGCGTCAGTCGCTTGGTGGTGATGTCTGTAGATGGAGGTGGAAGAGAGAGGAAGAGCATGGCAAACGTCTCTTTTATCATGTTCTTCCTTCCCTCTTGGCTTTGCCCCCCCTTTCAGAGTCAGGTGAGCATTACCTCATCGTAGTCCCTGGCTGACCAAGGGAATGGGGGTGACTCACTGCAGAGTCCAACAGATCCTTTGTTGCTGCCTAGGCCAGTGTTCCTGTGAGGCTGGGCTGGATTTGTCCCATACATGCCCTGATGAGGTATGAACTGCCCCTCCATTCCTGGAGAGTTTTGGCTGGGCTTGTTTTAAGCCACGAGGACACATTTTCAGCCTCATAACTATATATATGAAATTACAACCTATAACATTACTGTAACAACAATTACTATAACAACAATGCTCAGTGCATCATGAGCCTTCCAAAGACACCCAACAAGACAAACGTTGCATTGGATACCACACAATCATTTTATAAGGATGAACATGGGGGTGTAGGGTGTTCCCCTGAGGTACAGAGCGTTACAATGTGGTGATATGAGTACTTACCTCCCAACTGGCATTTCACAGGAGTGTTCCAAAAATGCAGTAATTATGGTTGTTAATGACCTTTGACACTTGTCACGAAGTGTGGGGGAGTCAGGGCCCTGCACCCCTCTTCCTGAGATTCGCTGTGACTCTCAGCCAGCCAGTAAAACAGAAGGTTTATTGGACAATACGAACGCAGTCTACAGCAGAGCTTGTAGGTACAACCAGGACCCCTCAATCAAGTCCTTCTGGGGGTTCAGGGAGCTTAGACCCCAGCCTGGGGTTCCCTGCGTTGCACCACCCAGCCCAAAACTGAAACTCCCAAATCCCCCCAGCAGCTTTCTCCCCCCTCCCCTCTGCCCTTCCTTTCCTTTGTTCAGTCTCCCGGGCAGAAGGTGTCACTTCTCCCCACCCCTCTCCTGGCTCAGGTTACAGCTCAGGTAGCTCAATGTAACTCCCAGGCAGCATTCCCAGGTCAAATCCGCCCCGATCCCTGTTCCGTCACAACACTGTAAATACGTTAAGTGGTAAGAGTTATTGCCCTCAGAGCCAATCAATAAGTAAATATAGCACACCCATCTTTTACTTTGCTTCACTGTAGCAGTTGTTTGGGTATCACAAAAATGCTTGTGCTAGACCAATTGCCAATTTTTTAAAATGTATGTGGCTTTGATAATTAACAAATAATAATTCACTCCAGTGTTTTCTAAAATATTGCCTAGCATTATGGACAAAGTCCCCAAATTGCATACAGTCCAGTATTGTATACACAGTGGAAACTAAATGAGAACATTTTCATAGGCATTACAGTTAAGAGACATAAAACTCAAACAAGGCCATGGTAAAGATGAAAGAGAATTATTCTTGTATTTTCCTGCTTCCTGATTTACTGCCATATCTTATTCTGCTGGAGAAGTGCTAATTCCCATTCTGATATCCACCAGGTTCAGAGAAGAGCATACAGTAGAGAGGCAGGACCACTCATCCTGCTGCCCCTTGCTTAGAATCTCTTCTCCTCACTGGCTGTGGAGCCCTGACCCCAAAGAACTAAAGAGTTTTCCTCAAGCTTTCCCCATTCTGAAGCCCTCTCCCCATTTTCTCCAGATTCTGCTCCCTCCTGTTCCTATCAGTGAAGTATCCAGCCCAGCAATGCATTTTAATTAATAAGGCTAATAAAGCATTTCAGCTCACATCTGCATGTGAAATCCAGCATAATCAACTGTTTGCATCTGATTGATATACCCAAAATATCATCACTTCTCTTGTAGCTGCATTCAAGGATTAATTTAATTGGGGTAAGAAAAGGAAGATAAAACACTGTATGGTTATTTTAGTGTTTGATTTGTGTGGCTGAGTAGCTAAAACGTCTATTTGTCTTCAGAGTGAATCTAAAAAGCCTGAAGAATATTTCCTCATTGATTGCTCTAAAGAACTACATCATAACTGCTGTGATAAGAGAGGTGCTTTTCAAATGATATGGTAGCTTGTGGTAAATCTAGGTCAATGAATAAACAAAACCAGTTTACTGTAGATTGTATTTCAGAATGCGTTAATTATCTGCTCTCTTTTTCTGAAGAAAGCCAACACGGCCTTGAGCACGGCCATCCAACTAATTAGACTGCACAATTTAAAATCATAGGACCCAATCCTGAGAGTAACCATTAAGATATGTTGGCCTCAGCATGACTATTCATATGAGAAAAGTGACTTATATGTGTAAGTGTCTCCAGGACTGGATCCGGGTGAAGTAACTAAAATGAGAGTTAAAGCATTCTCCAACTTTAAAGTCCTACAATAAGGTAGCTTGCAATGGCAATTGAAAGATCTTTCCTTCTCTCTCTGCATTTTTCAAGGACTCCATTTTTTGATTGGTGTCAAGAGTTTGGTATTGCATTAAGAAAGTATTACAGTTATATATACTTTGGTTTGATGCTCATAGAGATGGCTTATACCCCAGAAGGATCATATGAGCTGCTGGTGTAACAGAGGAAAGTTAGCATGTCAGAGGAAAGGGAATATGACCGTAGCATTCCAATGTGACACCAATCTTCATGTAGTTTTGGCTCCCTTGGAGCTGCTTGCAGCTAGCATAACTAAGAACAGCACTGAGGATGCTCTTGAAGCTGGGGGACCTTCCTTGAACTCAGCTTCAGAGGAGTGCAACTATGATCTGCCTACTGGGTGCAATTTTGGTGGGACACCAGGATCAGGTCCCTGTTTATTTGAATTACAGTGTAAGCAAAGACTTTTTGGACTAAAGTTTGGGGCTTATATTTGTCTAACACATTTTTTCGTTCCTGAAGGTTAATTACTTCACGAGATTTGGAAGGAACCAAAGCACAATTCTCATCGGAAGTTAAGGTAAATACTGATTAAATTGCAATTTATCCATGTGTACCTCCTAGTAAAGGCTGGGTCAGGTGGAAGCACTTATTCTAGATGTGTTCCTGGCATGTTATCTCATGTGTCTTTTTCAATGGGGGTTAGAACTAAACTTACATGAGAAAATTTCCTAACTCCACGAAAAGTATCCTTTTCTCTTCTTGACCTTTGTTTAGTGTGTTGTGGTGAGACATATTACTATCTAGGCATTTATACCATCACCATGTCTGAGCCCTTAGCCCCAGATCCAGCCCCTCCTCCACATGGATGGGGGCTCCCCAGGCAGCAAAACCAGTGTGGTTCTGCAGTGGAAGGAGGGACAGGATCCCAGGAGGCTGAATAGTAGGTGCACAGCTCCATGGGGAGGCAGTAAGATTA